TGCCACACAATCCGTGCCACTCCGTACATTCCCGAAACCAACCCGTACCACAACCCGTACCACTTTTCTTATAGGGAATACATAATTGATTAGAAAAATTTGATCATAAAAAAAAAAGAAATTCTTTAAGCAAATAAGGTTTTCTATATTATACCTTTTGCCCTAGCATGAAAAGAAAAATTCTAACGCACATTCTAATCCTAATCATAGAAGAGTTCATTTGTAAAAGTTAGATTTAAATTTTGACACTCTTATCGCAGCTAAACGTATGTTCTCGAATTTATAGATTATTAATAAAATTGATGATTAATTAAATGGTAAACTATTAGACTTGCCTCGATAAATTTTGAAATGTAGTATTAATTGATTTTGGGTCAAAATCCCGAACAACAGATTATTGAAAGATCATAACACTGACCAAATTGGCCAGCATTATACAGTAGCTAGTGCTGGCTAACTTTGTCGGAATTATGTTCTTTCGGAAATCTGCTTTTTGGGATTTTGACCCAAATTCGTATTAATTATATATTTTAGAGTCCGTTACTTTTAATTTACTTTTTAATACTGTGATATTATGATCATGAAAGCACGTTAAATTCATCATATAATGAAATAATAACGTTGTGCTCAAATTTCTGTGATATCATTTGAAATTGTTACAAATTAATCAAAACACATTTATATTAAAATAATCTTTTCTACAATTTTTTTATTAATTTACAAATTTATAAAATACAATGTTATATATTTATAGTATATTTTTATGAAATAAAAAAAAATGTTTTTGTGATCTTAAGAAATTAATCATAATTTTCTAGTAATATATCTTTTAAGAAATTTAATTATTTAAAAATGAATAATTAAATCTATATCATGCATCAAAACTATAATATTGAAAAATTTTGCTCATAAATTCTGGACCATATCCAGTTATATCAAGTTTTCTACCATGTACTCTATCAGGTCGGATTGCTTCTCTTTGAGCTTCCCGAGAATAATACCATCTTCTACCATAATTTACATCAATTTTCCATCCATCAACTGCGTAAAGTTTTTTAAGTAATGATTCGCTCATTTCAATTGTGTGAATAGGATGTTTATTCTTTTTTATATCAGTAAGTAAATTGTTCGCGTTTAAAATGTTAAAACATGGGATTGAAGTGAGATCAATGTATTGTAAATTCGGTAATGATGTTAAAAGTTCTTTAATAAGGTTCAAATTGGTAATTTGAGCTTTTGAAATTCCAAGATTTTGTAATGATGGACAATTCTCTTTGATAGCTGTTAAAATCAAAGGGGTTATTTGCGATGATCCAATATCTAATGTTCGGAAATTCTTTGCATTAGGTGATCGAAGTATAGTTACTAAATCATATTCTTTAATAGCAGTAGTGATATCTCTGTCACCGTAAAGATTAAGTGTTTCCAATTGAGAACATTTTGAGACAAGTGATGAAATAGTATCAGATGAAATATTTTTACATTTAGCCAATAATAAATGAGATAATTTAGTTGGAATATTTGTTCCAGCTAAGAAATTTAAAGTTAAATCGCTGATAGAACAACCTCCCAAATCAAGATGTGTAAGATTTGGAGTATGAGCGAGAAGGGGTATAATGGTTGAGTATTCGGAAATTGTAGGACATTCATGAAATGAAAGTCTTTGTAAATGAGATAATAAAGGTTTGGAAGTCATGTGAAAAGAAATAGTTGTTTCATCATAATCGTTGCAAGATTGTTCAATTTTAACACGACCGATTGATCGAGAAAATTCATCTAAAGCGCTACTAAATTGTTTACTAACACAGCCACAAAAATCGATAGCTTTGATATTTTTACATTCTAAAAATAAAACCTTTAAAACATCAAGGGTAACTACGGATTCCAAAGATTCAGATACGGAAAAAGCTTTTAATTCGGGGAAAGATCTTAGAGTATGAATTAAAAGATCAGGAGTGACGACATTTTGCGTTTCAAAAGAACTTTTTTGTAAGCCACAGGTAGAGAAACTAGAAAGATCCAAGTGACGAACCATATGAGAACAACGCTTTTTAATATCGTTTGAGGCATCAACGAAAAGTGTAAATGTATGAGGAAAAGTAAATGCGACGGTATGATATAAAATAGGAGTAGCGTGAAGGTTAAAAGTATGATTAACTAAAGCACAAGCAGCGAGAGTTTTTCTATCATTCCTTAAGAAACTAAGAATAATACGAATAATTTCAGGAGGAATATAAGGAGTTTTTGTAATCTTTTTTGCTGGAACAACATTTGAACCAGTGAGTGGATAAACAATTAATTGAGATAGAGTATGCATTTTTTTTTTTGATAAAGATTAATATGAATTGAAGATTGATGATTGTTGAAAAATTTAAGTATTGAAGAATTGTATTGTTAAATTTATTAAATAATATTGTCTTTTTAATATTTTTGCTAGATGTTTCGTGTTGTGTTGAAATGAGCGAGCGGAATTTCATGCCTTTATATATATTTTTTATCAAAGAACAATTTATTAAAGATAGCAAAAATAAGCACATTGATATTAATTCCCATAAATGGACTTACTTTTGTAACCTCAGGTATCTTTAATACAATTACTGACGTTATAGTGTTTTGTTTGTGGCTACATTTGTGTGAGTCCAGCCTATTATTAGGTGAATTACCTTACCAGCCTATTATTATCATAAAAAAAAAAGCTAGGTAACCACTAGCCATCAAAAATAACGTCAATGCTATTATGAACAATGGCATGTGTCATTTGTTATAGCCGAGAACTGGTTACAACACGCCACATTTAAACTTTAGCACGGAATAATTATTGATGTTAGAAGACGTGGGATATCAAATTAATCCTATTCGCATAAAAAATTTTAACGTGCATGCATTAACGTACAGAAGAGTCTTATACAAATTAGAATAATCACTATCTGCTACATAGAAATTTTGCTTCGTTACGATGTATAATAATGTGTTTTCATAGGTAATAGTTATGCTACTTCTACTTAACATATTTACATTAGCTATGTCATCCATTCTACTGTAATTTACTTCTTATCATTATTATATTTATTATTTTAATTCAATTACACGGGTATGCGATCCTAAGTCTTTGAAAAATTTTATTTTTAGAATTGATGACTGGACACATGCTTGACGGGCCACAATAGAACAGAATTTAATTTGTATCACAGAATTTTCGATTTTTCAATCAACTTAAATTTGTAATGGATCCTTTTAAGTATATTTATTATAAATAGCCGTTTTGAAATTTAAGAGTAACTCGTTACACATTGTTACGATTTTTTGCTTTTGTGCTTAAAAGCTCATTATATTTGTTTATCTATTGTTAATTATGACTAAATTGCCAATTTGACAGCGTATCCATATTGTTGTTATTATCCCTGGAATTCTGAAGTTATGGTGGTACGAGATAATAACGTAGATTTGAAATTGCAAGTTGCATCTTTATATCCTTATCTTAATTTGGATACTTTTTACGTGCATAATATAATTATTTAGTTATAACATTCGAATAGTCTAAAATATTCACCCAACTTCTCTTTCAAAAGTTTCTTAATATCAATCATATTATGTAATTTGCCTAATTTCATTGTTTTCCTTACATTCTGCAGAGGTTGCATAATCATTGTATAAAAATTTCTAATACAATTCATAACTCCAGTTTAGTTATATTGTATTCAATAAAAAAATAAAACTAAAAAATAAATTGAAGCACATAATGATAGAATTGATACTTATTTAGCTTGTCCCTTGAAAATTAAAAAAAAAAACAAACCAACCAACATTAATGACCTGCAAATAGGTAATAGATTATAATTTTCAGCAGCCAAAAATAAATATTGTAGCCGAAACAATTTTGACAATTAGAAATAATTATGGCAGCCAAAAATAATATGGACATTTTGAAGCAGCATGCTGAAAAATATAAAATAATATATAATACATAAAATCAAATGATAATACCAAATTAAACTCCCAAAAAATATTAAAGATTTAAAAATACAACTTTAAAAAGCAGGAAAATAGATCAATTCATTTGATTCAACTAATCGATTAGAAAATTTTTGCCGATTTGATCGTAAAAAGAAATTCTTGAAGTTAGCATCTTTACCTTATCACAAAAAAAAGAACAAATATAGTGCACATTCTAATCCTAATCATCAAAGAGAGTCAGTCCTCTTGTAAAAGTTAAATTTTAAGAATCTTATTAACCATGCATAATACTGAAAGTTATTTTGATGGAGGTGTAGAGTTTGGAACCAGTTTTATTTTCATATGTTAAAACCGATTAAGGCCAGTTTTAACACATGAAGAATAGGGTCTCTATCAATTCTCGACAACACTTTCCTCGACAAATAAAATCCAGACAAAAATTGATCGGAACTAACCCTAACCCTAACTAATGCGGGCTGACTTATCAGGATTATGAGATTGTCAGAAGAAAAATGGTAGGATCCGAAAAAATAAAACCTGGTTCAAACTCTAAGTATAGTATTATAATTACATATTTTGGAGTCCCATTATCTTAACTTACTTTTTAATATATGCTGTAATATTATGAATATTATGTTCATAAAAACACGTTAAAATTCATCATTATATTTAATGGAAAATAGATACTAATGGCACTCAATCTTATGTAGATTTTATTTGAAAATATTACATCAAAACATTTTTATATTAATTTTTTTTTTTTATTAATATTTTTACAATTTCTATTATTTGACAACATATAGTATATTTTTATGAAATTGATTTTTTTAAAAAAAATATTGTATGATTTAATTGTTCTAATAATAATCTTATAAGAAATTAAACTTAATTATCTAAAAATGAATAACTAAACTGATATTATGCATCAAAGCTATAATATAGAAAAATTTTGCTCATAAATTCTGGACCATATTCAGTTATGTCCAATTTTCTACCATGTACTCTATCAGGTCGGATCGCTTCTCTTTGAGCTTCCCGAGAGTAATACCATCTTCTACCATAATTTACATCAATTTTCCATCCGTCAACTGCGTAAAGTTTTTTAAGTAATGATTCACTCATTTCGATTGTATTAATAGGATGCTTATTCTTTTTTATATCAGTAAGCAAATTGTTTGTGTTTAAAATGTTAAAGCATGGGATTGAAGTGAGATCAATGTATTGTAAATTCGGCAATGATGTTAAAAGATCTTTGATAAGATTCAAGTTGGTAATTTGAGCTTTTGAAATTCCAAGATTTTGTAATGATGAACAATTCTCTTTGATAGATGTTAAAATCAAAGGGGTTATTTGCGATGATCCAATATCTAATGTCCGGAAATTCTTTGCATTGGGTGATCGAAGTATGGTTACTAAATCATATTCTCTAATAACAGTAGTGATATCTCTGTCACCATAAAGATTAAGAGTTTCCAATTGAGAACATTTTGAGACAAGAGATGAAATAGCATTGGATGAAATATTTTTGCATTTAGCCAATAATAAATGAGATAATTTAATTGGAATATTTGAGAAATTTAAAGTTAAATCGCTGATAGAACAACCTCCCAAATCAAGATGTGTAAGATTTGGAGTATGAGCGAGAAGGGGTATGATGATTGAGTATTCAGAAATTGTAGGGCATTCATGAAATGAAAGTCTTTGTAAATGAGATAATAAAGGTTTGGAATTCATATTAAAAGAAATAGTTGTTTCATCATAATCATTACAAGATTGCTCAATTTTAACGCGACCAATTGATCGAGAGATTTCATCTAAAGCGTTACTAAATTGTTTACTAACACAACCACAAAAATCGATAGCTTTGATGTTTTTACATTCTAAAAATAAAACCTTTAAAACATCAAGGGTAATTACGGATTCCAAAGATTAAGATACGGAAAAAGCTTTTAATTCGGGGAAAGATCTTAGAATATGTATTAAAAGATCTGGAGTGGCGACATTTTGAATTTCAAAAGAACTTTTTTGTAAGCCGCAGGTAGAGAAACTAGAAAGATCCAAATGACGAACCATTTGAGAACGGGTGGTGCGCATTTCGCCGACAATCACTTTACCGACAGCTTAGTTCACCGACAATTAATTAACCGACAAGTTCATTTCACCGACAATTATTTCACCGACAACATTTCGCCGACAAAATAATTCTGGTCATTGTTGTTAGTGTCAGGTTAGAATTAGAGCTAAGGTTAGTGTAATTTATAAAAAATACTTGTCAGTGAAATGAGCTGTCAGTGAAATAATTGTCGGTGAAATGAACTTGTCTGTGAATTGATTGTCGGTGAACTAAGTTGTCTGTGAAGTGATTGTCGGTGAAGTAACACGTATCCTTTGAGAACAACGCTTTTTAATATCATTCGAAGCATTAACGAAAAGTGTAAACGTATGAGGAAAAGTAAATGCGACAGTATGATATAAGACAGGAGTAGCGTGAAGGTTAAAAGTATGATTAACTAAGCACAAGCAGCGAGAGTTTTTCTATCATTCCTTAAGAAACTAAGAATAATACGAATAATTTCAGGCGGAATATAAGGGATTTTTGTAATTTTTTTTGCTGGAACAACATTTGAACCAGTGAGTGAATAAACAATTAATTGAGGTAAAGTATGCATTTTTTTGATAAATAAAGATTATGAATTGAATATTGATTGGATTGATTACTGAGAAACTTAAGTATTGAAGAATTATATTAACCGATTTTGTCTTTTTGATATTTTTAGTGTTGTTTTGAAATGAGCGAGCGGAATTTCATACCTTTATACTGTATATATTTTTTATCAAAGAACAATTTATTAAAGATAGTAAAAATAAACACACTGATATTAATTTCCAGAAATGGAATTTACTCTTGTAACCCTCTGGTACGTAGTATTTTGATACAATTTTTGATGTTATAGTGTTTGTTTGTGGCTACCTACATTTGTATGATCCGAAATCTGCCATAAAAAAAAAGCTATGTAACAACGAGCCACTAACAATGGCGTCAACGCCATTATGCACAATGATATGTACCATTTGTTATAGCCGAGAACTGGTTTTTTATTTGGTTACAACACACCACAATTAAACTTTAGAATTCACGGAATAATTACTAAAAATTAAATTTAGAGACGATATTTTTTAGGATCAACAATTTTAACATGCATGCATTAACGTCTTACAAAATCAGAAAATCACTAGAAATTTTATTTCGTTATGGTATACAACAATATGCATTGCCATAATAGCAACGCTACTTGACACATTTATATTAGCTATGTCACCCTCTTATAGTTTCCTTCTTATCGCTATTATATGCGAACTTTTGAAAGCTTTTGTAACACGGAATCTTCGATTTTTCAATAAATTTCTTAATTTGCAAATTGTCTTTTTATGTATATTTATTTATATAAATAGTCATTTGAAATTTTAATTAGAACTTGTGTACTCATGTATTACACACTATTACGATTTGTTTTTGTACTTAGAAACTCATTCTATTTGTTTCATATCGGATTTACGGAATTGAAATTGGTCCCTAAAAATGGTCCCCAAAATACGATTGTAGATAAGCGCAAACCCATTAGATCTTAGATAAGATGGTTTAACTTGTAAAATTACTGAATTATATGAAATTTGGGTCTTGAAAAAAAGGTCCAATTCTGTAAATCCGCCGATATGTATTTATTGTTAATTAGATAACTTTCATATTCAATATTTACCACTGAGAAAAAAACCAATGAATACATGTTCATTGGCTGCTGTATCCATATTGTTTTCCATATTGTCGTCATCCTTAGCATTTATCCAGGTTCAGAACAGAGATAATGATCAATCACTGAATGATCGATTTGACAATGGCCGGCCATTAAATGGGGTTGAGTCAAAGCAACTTTTTCATAATAAAAATTTTTTATAACTTTACACAAAAATAATTTAACAAAACCTCGACCAAATTTAATAAAAAATTTTTTAACTAATTTTTAAAAACTTGTAAAATTAATTTTTAAAAAAATTATATTAAATTTGATTAAGTTATTGTTAAGTTATTCTTGTTTAAAGTTTTAAAAAACTTATTAAAAAATATTTGTTTGGTTTCTATTGACTCAACTCCAAATAGTCAAAAAAAAAAAATCGAATAGTGATCGAATATAATATCGAACATTTTTGATTGTAAAGAATTTTGTCAAGACTAGCTATTATTATAAACTTTAGAAACGTATTTTATGGTGTATAACGGAATATGGGAGTGAAAGTGTGCAAATCTGTGTATTCATTCATTGTCTATACCTTTTAGATGGCATCATTTTATTATATCTATATTCATACATTGTGTAATTTCTAATCTGTTTCGAATGATTTAAATTTATCTGGGCTTACCAGTTTTTTATGTTTCCAAATGTTTAATTGATGCGAATATTGTATATATACCATGAACGGAAGCATATGGTTAAATGGTAAGCAAAGTGGTGTGTGCGATCCTCTACATCTGATTATATAATTGGAAATTTTTTAATCGATCATAATTCGATCAATCAATCTTTCGAACATGTTGTACATGATTGACCACATGATCGATTAAGAGAATAGTCATCTCTAGCTCAGAATTGAGGTGCAGGCAAAACTCGAAGCATTGGTACCGTAATCATACTTAGTTACAACTACTTACAACTTGCCATTTTAAAATACTGCAAAGCGTATTTTGTATATACGCCTTTAAAATGGCTCATCTGCTCTATTTATTAGTCGATTTTATCATAATATACAAACCGGTAGAACCGTTTTGCATCTTAGTTATACAGCGCTACTTGATTAGTGTTTCGTAACGGAAGTGTCAGATACAACTGATTTCGTAGGGCAGGAGAGAGGTAGGCAAAATCTCAAATCTAAATATCAGAATGACTAAATTTCTCAGGGGGGAGTAGGGTGAAGGGCACAGGGATCTTGGGCATGCCTTTTAGCTAAAAGGCATGCCCTTTTATTTGATATTAAAAAGCATATATCAAGTGAAGATGCCTTCTGATTAGTGTTCCGATTCGGATTAAAAAACTCGGTTTGATCTGGGATTGACCCGAAACCAACTGAATCCGAAATTTCGGGTTGAATCCGGAGTCAATCCGAAGTATTTAATGGATAAATATTTTAACATGGTCAGCTTGGAATTTGTATATTAGTGCAATGTGAAAGAAAAAGTTGGATCGAGTCTCAAAATTAGGCTTAATCCGGGCAATCCGAAACTTTTGGCCCGGAGGATAATCCGAATCCGCCGGATCCGGATTATTCGGAACACTACTTCTGATTGATTAATATTATGATATTAACTGCTTCTACAAATAGGTACAAGTCACTCTCGTTATAGTGAAGCATTTGGATTATGGAAATTTCTTCACCATACCGAAAGATCCACCATATTGAGAGCCTCTCAATATAGTGAATATATGGGCTGAGTGCTGGAAAAAGGACCGAAAATGACAAAATAAAAGATCTTCGGAAAATCAATTTTTGTGTTGTAAATCTTATAATTGATTATAAGAAAACACAAACTTTAAAAAACTATACTGCAAAATTTTATTAACACAACTACCTTTGTGTTTTAAGTAAAAAAAGATCCTAGCCTTATTCTAAATTAATTTATGCGAAAAAATCTACTTTGAAAAAATTGTCATTTTCGGTCCTTTTTCCAGCACCTAGCCCATATAAATCTTCATATAATAATAAATTTATACACCCAAAAATCTAATTAACAAGTTACACAAAGCAGTATAGTTGAGTGACAACTATTCCATTAATTTTATTGGTCAGTTCATGTCACATAATTTAATCTTCATTATAACGTGAGACATTTTGTTATATCAGTCTTAGAAAAAATCTTCATATATCTTATATCGAGAGTTTACTAATAAACTTCATTATATCGAACGAAAGTTTATTAATAATGATTTTTGTTCTAAAAAAATTCTTCATTATAAACCAATCTTCACTATAACGAGAGTGACTTGTATGTATATATTTATAAGGGCATGCCCGGGCATGAAGAGGTATGCCTCTCTAGTCCAAGGCATGCCCAAAAGTTTCCTCATCTTAGAGGGGATGAGCTCTATAGTAAACTGATCTTAATTAATATTTGACACGTCCCTAACTACTGTATCTTAATTTTTTATATGATACTTAATTAAACTTATTGCGGTTTGCAAAAAATGTGAAATTTGCAGATCAAAAAAAAAAAATTGTTGATTTCTGATTGCCGATTTTTTTAACATCACTTCTGATGACGTATATATATCAACTAATTTTATACTATATAAAGACATGTTATACATATATATAATATATATTTATTTAGCATACATTTTTTTTTAAAAAAAACCATTTATAATAACAAAATTTATTATCCCGGAATATGCTTTGGATGCACAAAATGTCTTTTTTGTACAACTTCTAAAATTTATTGTAATGAAATATATATATATTCCAATAAAAAATATATATACTAAAGTTCCTTATGTTTTTACTTTGAATTCCATGATTCTATCAGTAATAAACAAATTAATTTTCTAGTATCATATAATAATATTTATAAGATCGAATTTGGCGCAACTTTTCTTGCTTATCTGGAATAGTAAATATTATTGGGCTAGAAAAGAAACAAAATTAAATATTACATAATCAAGTTCTTGAACATGCAAATTATATTCTTACAAAAGATGCTAAATCAAAATATGTTACAAAATTATGAATCTATAACTTTTATTTCTGCAAAAAAATGTTAAAGAAATCAGCAATCAGAATCAGAAATCATCGATTTCTTTTTTTTTTTGATCTGCAAATTTCACATTTTTTACAACCCGCAATAAGTACGTAACATGTCACTAGTCAGAATTGATTAAAGTTAATTCCGATAAGTTATAAACTTTAAAGTCTGATATCTGGTTCTTTTAGCGGCCTTCAAATAGTATCTATTATATATTTAACAAGGTTCATATGGGCCGTCAATAGAAATAAGGCAGATTGACGTTTTAAAAAATTAATACCTTAAC